AAGTAATTTGTTTTTACCAGTATTAATATATTGTAGATATTTAACAAAGTCCAGTTTTATCAAAATGTTCCCATCCACTGTAAATTCAATTACTCCAAAATGCACTGAAAGGAACAAATCTGCATGCTGGGAGATGGATTGGTAGATCTAAGAGGTCTTATTCATATCTGCTTTCTATAATAATATAGCCCTCTGGAGTGTTTGCATATTTAACACAAAAAAAAAAAATATCACTCATGCAGTATTACTTTTCAATGCTGAACATTTGCAAGCAAGACTTTCTTCCACCATTATCACTGCACTTCAAACTTTATGAATTCTGTGTGAGGATTTCAATTACATTGGTTCTGTAATAGCGATGGAACTATGTTATTTGCACAGTTCATGTATATTTTATTTTGTCTATGTTTTACCATTTTTTTTATGCCATACAGATAACCCAGGAAATGAACATTTAATTGCTACTTCATGTGACAGTTTCAAAGAAAGTAAAATGTGTTATAATAGGTTAGTACAGTATAAACTGGGGACAACGTCACATTTTTAGCACTATAACTACTCATTAAGAAGGTCACAGCTGGATTTCAAAGGGATGAGGGCACATACATAATGAAAACGCATGTATGACTCAGAAAATGCACGAAATAGAAGTGAACTACCATTTATGTTCCCCTCAGACATTTTTTTGTTAATGTTTGCAATTTATTTCTGGGAAATTCTGTAATATCGTTTATATCTTTATCTGTCATTTTTTTTAAAAAAGCTGCACTTATTTTGAAGAAAGAAGTATTCTAAGCACTCCCAATGTGAAAAGGATCTCTAAGTAAATTATACGTTGAATTTTAAAATAAAGGATTTATCTAAATCAAAATAATTGATAATCAGAAGGCTCTTTCTGGGATTTCAGAACCAGTTTTACCCTGATAGCAACTAAAGGGAAGATTTAGAAGGAAATACTGAAAAAGTGGTATATTAAGGTACAATAATAAAAGTATTTGCAGATACAGTCGTTTGTGGATGCCAACACAGGTTAGAATGCATTGCCATGGTAAGTGTACACAAGATTAAATACAGACAACGGGACTCTCTTCATAATTTTGGCCCTGCCTGTTCAATGATGTCTTTGAATAATAGAAGTCTCTTGTCTGGAATTTAAGAGTTATTCATGGTTACCTCCATAGACCCTTGTCTTCCTCCATCGAATAAATACAGCAATTGCCAACAGGACAACAATAGGAATAATTAGAAGAGTTGTAATAAGAACAAAGGAAATTCCAGGACTGGCCTGTTCGACCATATGATGTTTTTCCCACTTCTTTGGAGACTCCGTTGAAACAGGTTTGTTTTTCAGTTTGGCTTCTATAACTGTCTCTGCTTCTTTAAGAAAAGAAGAGAACTGACATCGGTATTTTAACATTTCAAGCAATATGCTTGAAAAGAACATGCTAATGCACCTGAAATTTTCAGTAATTAATAACAGGCACCATTAAAACTATAAAATGACACTAACAGGATTTCTTAGCTACTGCTGGTGTCATCTCAAGAGCCATGCAGGGGGGTAGAGATATAACTTTCTAAAAGTCTGAGAAGATTAGAGTATGCTCTCTCTATTTCGCTAATATTTGCGGTTCGGAGGATAGAGATGGGACAATTGTCAGGGAGAGTTGCTCCTAAAGAATTCCAACATTTGAATGATGGGAAAATCCTAAAGCATTCCATTGTTACAACAAAGCAAGGCATGACATTACTTTCTCAGTAAAATATCCCCCTACGTTAGCTGCATAGACCCTTTTGCAAGTAACAAGCTACATTTTTGTATTATCAAGAATAAAAAGGGAATGTATTTGTTACAGTCCTTGAAACAATTAACCCAGAGAGGACATGTATGCATGTTTGTGTAAAATGTTTAGTCTGTACAGAGCAGCTCGCACTTTGCGAGATAGGCTTTAATTGTGTTGTGGTTGCATTTTATCCACAACTTTAGTTTTGTTAGAATTATGCCATGTGAAATGATTCCACCAGTTCATTTCCTTTTTCCTACAGTACCAGGGAGGAGGATGAATGGGAAAAGGAGGCTGATGCTATTGGTAGACTATAGATATCAAGGAGGAGCATGTGCCATACCGAGAAGGGAGCTGGATAATATGATCCCAAAAAGGTTCAATTTCAGCTGTGATGTTTGATATGTGGTAGTGCTAGTAAATCTGTACAGCTGGTAATGTTTTGGATGAACTCCTATAAAACTATATACATTTCAGTATTTTCTACCAAGGATAGCCAAAGTGTGGTCTGTGGAGTCAAGTAAAGTCCAGAGAGTTCTATAATGCTGTGAGTTCCCTTCATCTTTAATATGGAGATGTGGCAGCCAATGATTACCTGGTCCCAGCATGAAATGAACCACTTGAAACTTCTTATGGCTTGTCAGTGGGGCATTTGTGAGAGTTACCTACTCTTGAGTTAACTCCTCATGAGGTCGAGTGAGAGCAGTCACACTGTAATATGGTCGAGCTGCACAGTGATTGGGTTAGTAGCTCACTGAATAATCAAGTCCCCACTGCTTTACTAGCTGGAGCATCAGCAGCACACAAACTTCAACCCACAGCCCCTGACAGGCCAGCTGGCTTGAGTTTAAAGCAGCAGTTCCCAACGTTTTCCCTGTATGGCTTCCTGCGACCCCAGACAGCATGGAGGATGCCATTTTTAAATGGAGTTGTCCTTGCAGCATGACCTCATACGCACTTTATGTGCAAAGTCAACTGCAGCATGCAGGACACCATTTTGCTTTACAAAATGGCGTCCTCCACACAGTGTGACCTCGCACACTGGTGTGTGTGAGGTCATGCTACATGGAGGGTGCCATTTTGTAAAATGGCATCCTCTGAACACTTGGGATTGCCGCAACCCTACTTGGGATCATGACTCAAAGTTTGGGAACTGCTGGTTTAAAGTATCATTTAACTTGAGCTAAAATTTGTGTGTTCACAGGGGTCAGGCTAGCGGCAACACTTCAGTTATATCTCAAGCTAGAACTGTAGTGAAGACAAGTCCTTATTCTCAATGGACCACACTTCTGTAATGAAGATGAGAATCATTGCAGACTGTTCAATTTTATGCCTAAGTAGATGTTGCCTTTCAGCTTCCGGCAAATTCTTTATGTTGCCCTCACTTCGACACAGCAGAGTTGGTATTGGGGACAGCCACTGTGACCAGAGAGGGGACTAAGTTCTAGTTTAGCTCCCAGGAAGTGTAAATCAAGATATTTTAAAACAAATAATTTATTTTGTTTAAATTCCATTTTCTCCATTTTTAATAAATCTTGTTTTTTTTATTAAGACTACTGTTTAGGTGTGTCCCAGGAGAAGAGTATTCCACAACTTCTATGAGGAGGGGTTGGAGGATAAAAAGTTTCTGGAACCTACATCCTTGACTCAATCTTGGTCAAGGAGCATGGAGAGAGGAGTCCACTCCCAATGCATTGTGCTGCCATCAGGCTGCATCAAACGAACACACCAGGGGAGAAGCCAGAAGAACAAGAAGGAGGGTAAGTTGGTGGAGGTGTTTGACCTGGGAACATAGGGTGAAACTTCAAGCAAAATGAAGCCACAAATTCTGTTTGGAACTGATTCCTGCCTAACCCCAACCAATAAATTCAATCCTCCTTTGTATTCTGAATACTTCAATTCATCCTGGAAAGTATATTCCCAGTTAAGTCACACAGCAGCCTTCACCTTCCCAATAAGGTCCATACTGTACCCTTTAGCATTATAGCAATGGATAGACTGATCTATCTTATGTAAATCTCACTGATTACTTGACTGCTCATTGGTAACAGATTACAAATTAGTGACTAATGAAAGGAAATAGGATTTAGGCTCTTTGCTCACTTGGGTGCATCTGAAAATTTTACTCTGATTCTAGGACTGTATTTTGTTGCCACATAAGATTAGAAAAGGAATTTCTAATGAAATTCTTTAAAAAAATTAATTTAAACAAATTTTGCAGGAACTTTTATGGCATATTTTTGTGAAACATTTTAAATTAGTAAAAACATTTAACTTCATACTGATATCATGGCCTCTAATTTATTTTATATCGTTTTAAACTTAAAAAAAACCAGATGCATCAAAAACCTTTTCTGATATTATATTAGATAAATTTAAAAGCCTGCTACATGTTATATGAACATATATATGCATATGTGCAAAATTATATTGTGTGTTTTGTGAAATGCTCTCTTCAAGTTTTGTTATGTAGTGAGTCTTCACATTTATGTTGCATGACAGAGAGTGACTGTGGTGGCTTTTGTAGACCTTTGGTTGCTCAGCTGGCAGCTATGGCTAAAGGCATTTTTCCCTAGTACAACCTTTCTGATTGAACCAGTTTTCTATATTTTTGTCTCATTTTGAGATTAGACTACTGTAATAAGAGCACTCTACCATCTGTAAGTTGTAGCTAGTGCATACCACATCAATCCACATTAAGCAGAACATCACACAGAAAGCATATTATATCTATACATTTTACTCCTGGGGGAATTCTGTGCCACTATGTACGCACAGAATTTATGTCCCTGGCATATTTTATTTTCTCAGCAGAATACAGATTCTGCTGAAGAGGTGCTGCACTTACACCTTTCACCCACCAGGGGCTGCTGTGGTGCCAGAAGAGAGGGCAGCCAGCCGGTGGAGAGGCTGCATTCCTCAGAGCAGGGACAGGTGAGGAGGCACCAGACAGAATGGAGCACATGGGGCTGCTGATATGGGGTACAGAAGGGCTAGTGGGGGAGGACAGACTGGAGCATGAGCTCAGGAGCTAATAGGGTGACAGCATTGAGCCAGGGGCTGAATAGGAGGGGGGAGGGCTGAAGGGCCCCATGGGGACAGGGGGTAGGGGGGGGGTGCAGGGATTCATGGGTGTAGGAGGGGGAGATTTTTGGTAGCCCAAAGTCAGTAACATGCCTAGACCACTGCCCACAGCTGACATACCAATTGTTATGCTCATTGCTGAAAACAGCTAGAAAGGCAGTTGCTGAATCCTTAGCACAACTAACAGACCAGGATGGGTGGGGGAAGTGAGTGATGAGGAGTAAACATGACCCAGTGTCCTCCTGACTTGAGTTTTTGCTGAAGCATGCAGTTGTGCAAAATGAAAAATCTGGCAATAGTTAACTATTGCTATGTGAAATACAGCTGGTTAACTGATGGAAAATTCCCTGCCCAACAGGCTGGAAAACTCCACACTTAACAAGCTATGTAATACTAACAAATTGGGTATAAAAAGAGGAAGAGATCTGAGCTCAATGGACATTTGAATACTTGGGATATTTTGGGACACCTCTCAAGTTCCCCTGCAGATGGAAAGCTGGCCACTGGAAGTCTACAGATATCCATTCAAGATCTTGGGTAAATATTAAACGGGGGGTAATTTGGGGTACTCTACTAACCTGCTGCGGACATGTGTAAGTACTCAAGACTAAATAAAGTAGAAGCTTTGAGTGAAAGCACCTTTGTTTGCCTGCTTGCATCAACTATCTATTGGCCAGAGGTGCCGTGTCCCCCACTGATTTATTTCCTGCCACCACCTTGCAAAGAGTAACATTACCAAGAGCTCTGGGTTCAGAAAACCTCAGGTAACATGGAGAGGGGGGCTGCAGACACACATTGGGACATGGGGTAGGAGGGTGCAGGGACACACGCAGATGGGGGCAGATGTGCCTGACTGAAATGGGAGAGGCTAGGGGTCAGCCAGGGCCTGCATGGGGGAGGCTACCCAACTCCCTACAATCCCTTCCTACCCCCCACAAAAAACCTGTTCCATACTTCTCCCATCCACACACAAGCACCCTCCAGATTCACTCCCAGGCTCCTTCCCTCTCTCTCCCCCAAGCCTTTGTACTGCTTCTGAGGGGTGCAGGAAATATGTTTATGTAGTGTAATTTAAATGAATTACACAAAGTTCTGTATTAATATGTCTAGTAAGGAATCTATTTGTCAAAAAAAAATTCCTAAATCTTTTATTTTTTTTGTCTGTATTGTTACAGACATACTTGTTGACAGGTATTTTGAAATAAATTACCAAAATAATTGAAACTGACGTGATTATATTGTGTTATTTTGACAAACATAATATGCAGAATTTTAAAATATTGTGTGCAGAATGTTTAAGTTTTTGGCACAGAATTCCCCCAGGAGTAACCTTTGCTGCCTATTAGCTTCAAGGGGGAAGCTAAAAACTATTGGCTTTAACCTAATGTACCCTGAAGTTGAATAGCAAGTGGTTACTTGAAAGACTCTCTCTGAATCTATGTGATACTGCTGAAATATTCTAATCTAGATATTCCTGATTAAATGAGAGGTGGCAGCTAGCAGAGTACCTTTTACCAGTGCTGCTATGGGCTTTTCACCCTCATCTGCCAGAGCCTGGATTTGTTGCACTTCCTTGCATGTTTTTCTGCTGAGTGCTTTGGGTGAGACTGTCTGATGAGAGAGGAGGATGCTAGTATTATTGTGTCTTAAAGGCAGTCTACTTCGTACTAATATGTTTACATTTGTTGATTTTGATGCTGTTTGCATATTTCCTTTTATATCTAAAGTCTGGTGCTCTGAATTCTGCCAAAGAAAAATAAGTAAAAAATAGTATAACTACAGTCCATTAAGATCCCCCAATAACCACACACCATTTTTTTAAAGGGGAAATTACCACTTCTTCTGTATAAGAGACTTGTGTAATAGACTATTATAATTTTAAAATAATTCCTCTTCATCTACCTTAAATCATTATCTTACCCTGTCAACCTTGTGCTGTATACGTTTCTTTACCTGCCTATTTTAAGTCCCTACATTCTTTTGATTCTTTTCTCTCTTTGAATTCATTTTCACCCTGCTATTCTGAAAAAAGGGGAAAAAAGTAAATCTGGAGGAACAAATCCGAGCAAAAGAAAATGCTTTATACCATCCTTAAAAATGTAACCAGCACTGTCAATGTGCTGTACAGACTCTAAACAAAAAGAAAATGGAATCAACAGTTATTTCAAATATGTTACTATTTTTTTCTGGATAATTGAGATAACTACATACCACAACTACTTCTGCATCTAGTAGAGCTGATGCAGATGCTATTTTGTGGATAATGGAGGGTCATATAGGACAGTCCACTGGGTAAAGTTCTATGACACGCTTTTCACCAGTGAAGTTCAAGTGTTTGATTCCACCATAATATTGGGTCTACCGGCAGTGCAACATGCTACCCTATGTCCCTTCCCATGCCGGCTCATTGTAACTCTGAACTATAGAAAATGACAGCAACAAATTTAATTACTTTCGGACTAGTTAGCATTCCCTCCCTGATATTTTCTGGCAAGAATATTTACAAAGCACAGAAACGCTTTCCAAGACAACTATGGTATGCCCATTCCCATAAGGAATCTGACTAACCTTTTATTTCCTGCACCTCGATACCAGCCTTTTTAACTGATCGATGCTCCATTTCTGTAACACAAAATTGCTCTTCAGGCCAACTGATATTTTAGAAAGACTCTTGACATCTTTACCAAATGTACAATCCTTTAGCAAATATCGCATTGTGTCTGAACTTCACCAAAGAGCGTCAAATAACTATCAGTATCATCAGAATCCTATGAAAGCATGAGCGTGATTCACAAAGGCAGTTTTCAATAATGTCCAACTCCTATGCCACAGAGTGGTTTTGTGGGCACATAAGAACTCCTCACATCTCATATGATTAACATGGTTGGATTTAATTAGTAATAAATGGGACATTACCAGGGGAAAAACCTAAATCCTGGAGGAAGGTGCTGGGGATATAGTAGGTAGTACTTTGCCATTAGAGGCTTCATTGAATCAATACCCCAGTATGGCATTTGGGGCATTGTGATACTGGAGGTGGAGTCTTTCAGGTGAAATAAATAATCCAAGGTTCACTTATTATTAAAAATCCTATAGCACTTTGCACAAGGGTTGGGGTATTAACTCTAGTGCCTTGGCCAAATTCCAGCATAGCAATTCCATTCTGCCCACCCAAAGTTACTTCTGAAATTCCAGGGGACATTATTCTTCACTTCCTGCCCAAAACTGTGTGGCAGCTGCTATACAATATGAAACAGCCACCACATTCTACCTCAGAAGGGGCTGTATTTCATCAGTGGATGAAGTAATTCTATACATGCAGTTTGCAATACGGGTTATAAAGCATTTTGAGACCTTCGTGGATGAAAAGGTTTTACATAACAAAGATAAATCATTAAACAGTAGAAGTGTCATCCTATCTGAAAAGGCACATTCTGAAAGATTTCACTAGTTCCAATTTCTTAACACTACTTAGGGGAAAGAGGAGGAGGGGAATCAGTGTCTGATATTATGCTAACATGTGGTCTTGGACAGGTGGGTGAGGACCAGTTTAACAATGTTACCATAAATTAGATGCAAATCCCATCTACTAGATGAATATCTCTTATAGTTATTATAATTCTATACTTCCAAAATATAAACAAAGTCCCTCTCCTCAAACCTCTTAGCCGTGTTGACTGAACTTGTTAGTTGTGTGTTTTTATAAACCTTAGCTGTTCCCATCTGGCTGTGAATGAAAGTTTGAAGGTCCTTCCTGTTTGGAGTTATTCTTCATAGGAAGAGACATATCCAATCCAGTGGTCCATCTAGTCCAGTGTATTGTTACTAACAGTGGCTAGTACCCCATGTTTCAGAGCAAGGTGCATGAAATGTAACAACTATGGGGAATAACCAGATCAGATGGAAAGTATATTTTTAATGGCAGACAATTAGTGGGTGGCTTTCTACATTTTATACATTTTCATCCTATCTAATGTAATGGTGGATTATATTGTTATTCCTAGAAAATGCCTAATCCATTTTTTAATTCTGCTAAATTCAATGTCTTACTCAGATCATATTCACCTCATACCCCTGAAGTCAAACTGAGTATAGTAAGTTGGGAAGTATTCCCAGTTAATGGAAATATAACAACCTCTAAGTAAACAGAGGGCATTGTCAATAAATGATACATTAAAGGGCTGGAAAAAATTAATCTTAATCATTTCTTAAAATACATACAAATGATGCAACAAGAAAAATACTCACTGGAATATACAATTTTATATGAAGCTCTCTGACAAATTAGTTAATCTGCCCAGGATTCATATTTGATATAGACCAGGAATTAATGTTACAAATGAATGGTAAAAAGAGCAGCCAGTTTTTTGTTAAACATGCTTATTTTAAACAGTGAAATGTGAACGTGAACATGGAAAAAGAAAATTCAACTGTTTAGCTAAAGCAATGAATCCAATTCTTAATTAATCAGGGGACAGACAATAGACAAGGGATGTCAGTCACTGAGAACATGGTTTCAGGGAAGTGTCTTTTAAAGTTCAAGTCAAAAAAGAAGCAACATACTTTCTGTGGAAGTGAACTTCCATACTGTTTTGGCATGAACATCTCCAACGTACACCGTTTTGTCTTCTGAAGCAACAACGTCATGTGGCATCTCAAAGTTCTGTCAAGATAAACAGCCACAAATAACTTCTGAATGACTACACAATGAATTAGATCACAAATGCAAAAGGCCTGTTTAATCAAAAATTTGAGATACAGAGCCAAATTTAGCTCTCATACAATGGGAGCTATAGCTGATGCTGGTGCCACACCTTAAAAGGAGAAAAGAGACAGGAATTACATCTCCATCAGGTGTTCACTTCCTCCAGGGGCAGTAGTTATTGTCATGATTTATAGAGAACTTAACATGGTGTACATTGTACAGACAATTCAAACCTAGTGATTTACACATTTTTTGCACAGTCCATTTTTGTCAATATTTTGATTAAACATTTAAAGAACTGAATGTGGAGATTACTGTGCTACACAATTAAATTAAAAGCTAATTTGTTTACAAATATAGTAGATGGACAAAGGGAAGGAAAAATGGCGAATATGTATAGCCATCACATAAATAGAGTGCACATATATTTTATGGACATATATATATATATGCACTAAAGTAGAAGCTTTTTATGTATAAACCTCCACATACACTTCTACTGTGATAGAACGCTGTCCTCGGGAGCCAAAAAATCTTACCGCGTTATAGGTGAAACCACGTTATATCGAACTTGCTTTGAACTGCCGGAGCGCGCAGCCCCCCCCCAAAGCGCTGCTTTACCACGTTATATCCGAATTCGTGTTATATTGGGTCATGTTATATCGGGGTAGAGGTGTATTTGTATAGGCAACTGGCATTTCCTAACTTTTGAGTGCTTGACTTTACAACCTTGATGATACTTTAACCTAGGTTTTTGGACATAAGATAATATACTTCATCACTATCACAACTGTAAGTATTGATACAGAATCACTTACCCTCTAATAATTCT